TCTCTCTCTCTCTCTCTCTCTCTCTCTCTCTCTCTCTTTCTGTCTCTCTCCTCTCTTTCTGTCTCTCTCCTCTCTCTATCTTTTTTAATACCAGTAGCTTTAAAAAGATTAGATTTATCAACTCTTGAACACATTATGATATTTAAGGACAAATTCATACTTGTCACAGCTTTATCTATCTATTGTTAACTCACTAAAATGAAGTCAGCCTCTTATGTAGTGCTGATTCACACTAAAAAGAAGGCCAAAAAATAAATCACCTCTTGCAAACTAAAACTAATCATTTTCTTTAAATCGAACTCATCTCATAATTTAAAAACCAGTTTTTTTAAAAAAAACTTGAAAAGTAGACAAACTCAATGGAGGACTAATGATTTTTATTCATTATAAGAGCAGTATTGTAGGGGTTAGAGAGATGGCTCCATGATTAAAGCTGCTTGCTGCTCTTCCAGAGGACCCAAGCTCAGTTCTCAGCACCCATGTCAGGCAGCTCATAACTGTCTTCATTCTCTTCAGCTCTAAGGGGATATGATGCCTTCTTCGGGGCTCTACAGGCTCCCATACACATGGGTGAGAATACAGACATACACATACACAAAAATAAACATAAATAGTACTGGAAGAATATGTTTTCTGGAAAAAATAAATTTAACTAAACAAGAAAATCAGAATATGCATTTATGACCTGCTCAAAAGCTTACCATCTATATCTAGTCAGCACTATGTTTTTTTCTGGTCCTAGGGAGAAGTTCTAGAATGGTAAATTAGAACTTTGGAGGGATGTAGTTTATTTGGTAGAGTGATTGCTAGCATATGTGAAGCCCTAGATTCAAGCTTCAGCACAATGTAAGTCAGGGATGGTGGCACATGCCTGTAGTTTTAGTACTCTGGGAGTAGAGGAAACAGATCAGAAATTCAAGGTCATAGTTGGCTACATACTCAGTTTACGGCCTACCTGGGATACAGGAGAACCCATGTAAAAGGTGAAGGGGCAGGGCAGAGAAAGAAAAGATTTGGAGTCAGTCTATCAGTGATCAAAGGCAAGTATCCTGCAGACCATCAGTTGGTTAGAATGCTATAAGCATTTATTCTTAGTAGTAGTGTGTTGCTTTTCCTGAAATATTTGATTTTAGCTGTTTGTTATTTGTATGCAGTATAGTTAAACCAGATTTCATTAACATTCACTTGGCTAGATTTTTTTTTTTTTTCGCCTTTTGAGATAGGCTCTCCCTGTCACTATGTAGAGAAGGTTGGCCTCGAACTCATAGAGATCTGCCTGCCTCTGCTTCTGTCTCCTGAGTGATGGGATTAAAGGCATGTGCCACCAGGCCTGGCTTGGCTAATTCTTAAGCAATGGAAATGTCATTTCAGAATTTCATTAGGGCCAGATATTTCTAAATACACATAAAACAGGTAGAAAAGGCACTTGGTGCTTATGTAGTTGATGTCCTCTGAGATTTTCTCAGATAAGGAGTGGGCAAGGAAGGTGGCATAAAAAGCCTCAGGTGATCTTGAATACAGGGTCACGTTCTCTTAATGGTTAAACTACAAGGTAAAGTGTATAAAGATGAAGGGCTGGGATGTAGCTTCTCCATGGAAGGGCACTTGCCTAGCATGTGCAAGACTCTGGGTTTGATCCCCAGGACTATAACAACAAGCAGAGTTCATATTCAGGCATGAAGGTGGATCACCACGAAATTGAGACTAACCTGGGTTTTGTAGCTAGGTCTGGATCAGCCTAGGCTAAAGTAGAAAGATGAGGTGATCTTGCTTGATTCATCATCTTGCTTGCATTATAATCATAACCCAGACAAATGTCCTGTTCTCAACTGTAGTTTTATGGAAACCACCTAGACTTCTCTCCATTATATCAAAATTCTCAAAAGGAGGAAGGAAAGAGTGGAGGAAGCCGGTGCTGGGCAGTCTGCCTCCTGCTCTCTTCTCTGTACAATAATCATGATAACCCAGGTTAATTATTTTTTCTCCTGAGGCAGGAAGAGAACAGGACTGAAATAACACATCAGAAGGTGGGCGAGACAGTGGCTAAAGGCCAAGGAAAAGGCAGATGTTTACACTGAATAGTTCTGAGAAGACTCTGTTGAGCAGGCCCCTTTGGGGCCTGAGTCTGGCAGGTGGCTTGTTGTGTGTCAGACTGAGGGGATGAGTACTGTGTACTTGGTCTCCACCAGTCATCAGCAGGAGGCCTGTTGCTACAGATTATGTAAGGGTTTCCAGAAATGAAACCAAAGAGGTGACAGAGGGGACTCAGAACTCCTGGGGGCTGCGTCATCCTCTGGATGACTGAGAGCTCCTTTTAACAGGGTGCTCTAAGGTGGCTTTGTTTGCCTGTTTGTTTTCTCCCTTACCTTAAGGAGGACTTTAAAGCAAATTAAACCCTAATTGAGTAACTTTAAATGAAATGGTTTGTTTCTCAAGGAGTTTTACATGTGAACAGTTTTGCTTCTAAAAAGATAAAGCTGTGTAAAGACACAGGATGTAAAACTTCTGACTAAACTGTTCATGCCATGAAAAAAATCCCTTACACAGAAGTCAATATTTTGGTGTTCCCTTTTCTTAGAGTTCCAAATAAAGTAAAACAGCCAATGGCAGACAAAAGAAACTGTTTCAAGAAAGAAAAGAAAATACACAGCAACAAATCCATCCAAAGTATAGTATGTGGTATCTACAGTGGACTGTTAAAAAAATTATTATTTTTATTTTATGTGTATGAGTGTATTGCCTTCATGTGTGTAAGTACGCCTGTGCCACACAATGCCTACGGAGGTCAGAAGAGGGCGTCGGATCCCCTGGAACTGGAGTTACAGACAGTTGTTAGCTACCATGTAGGTGCTGAGAATTGAACCCTGGTCCTTTGCAAGAGCAGCCAGTGCTCTTAACCACTGAGTCATTTCTCTAGCCCCCAGAGTGGATTATTTCTTAATATCCTCCCTCCTCTATGTGACAGAATTACATATTAAAATGATTATAACATGAAAAGAAATATAACATTAGCTTATGAGTTTTATTTTATTAAATTTTTTATTTATAACTGTTGCCAGTAAAATTAGTTTATACCTCAAGAATTCACTAACCTTCTTGTTTCATAGTCATCCGTGCACCTGCCATTTGTGTGAATTAAAAAAAAATACTGAAGAATGGGGTCGGGGGGCAGCTGGAGAGCTACTGTCCTGAGGCTGTGGAGAACTGATCTTCAGGTGTGGTAATTACTGCACTGAGAGAGATAGGGGAACACAGTTTGAACTCTTTAAAGAAAGCAGACCTTGTAGAATAGAGACTCGGGACACTCTTCTATCCTTTTGCTCCTCTCATGTAGTGAAGAATGAGATGATTGACATTACCAGATCAATTAATATCATTATGCCACTTGCTGAAAGAACTGAAGCATTTTCACAGTTCAGAACTAGAGTAAGTCTAATTTTCACAGTCAGACTTTGGGCTCATTGACTAAAGAATTTAACTGTAGACAGGGACTGAATGTGGGTGCCCAAGCTTGGGACAAGGGACAGGTCTTGATGTTTTTCTGTGATGTTTGCTCAGCCGAATTCCTTAACAGCTGCTGGTTAAATGCTGAGCCAGGTAAAAAGGTGTTTTAACCTGTGGCATTCAGGCTCTACAATCCTGCCAAGCAGGGCGTGCCACCTCTGTGGAGCCTCAGCATTCCGGTTTGGGGATAACGTTTTTGACTTTGAGATGAATTGTCAAGATCAGTCAGGCTTCCTGACCATTCCTGGATTTGACATGAAAGTAAAAGGTTTCAGGGAGGAGATACTCATCCTTACTGAAAATCCATGGTGACTTTACTGTAATTTGGACTCCAGTTCCTGGCCTTTCCCACCTCTGGCAGGAGAAACACTGTGCCAAAAAGCTGACCCCTGAGCAGCACCAAATGTGCCTGCATCCAAAGCCATGAATGAGGCTTCTCACTCTCACCTGGGAATGCTGGTCCTCAGGGATGAAATAGAGGCACATCTTTAGAAAAAGTTCTACAAAACAGTGAAGGTGCTGGTTAGCCTAATCATCAGCACATTAAATTCTGAACCACAAACCTGCACCTTTATAATCTTAATTTCAACTCCAGATTCTGTGCCTCTTTCCAAGAAGAAATGTTTATTTTTCATGTTCCTTCTGAAATTACTTCGCAGTTTAGCCTTATAAAAGAAGAAAAAACAGGTGTTTTGATGTGAAGCCTATGCTTTGTGAGAAGACTGTAGTATGAAATGGTTGACAAAATGAAATTTGATATTTGTCTCCAAAATAGTTTTGAGTTAGACTATGCCTGGTGCCCATGTTCTGATATGGGTATGTGCCGAACTGGTGTTGGTTCACCACATTTCTATAGGGAAACAAAGTGTTGGTTGGTCATGGTATATAGGCAGGCATCTGCTGACACTGAGCTTTGATTGATAACTTGAAGAATATTTTTTCACTGAAGCAGAAGATTATTAATGATGCATCTGAAATCTCAAGTCCATTATGTGGACAGAACTTAAAATCCCTTAACTTTCTGTTGCTTCACCTCTGAATGTCTGTTTTAAATAAATTG